TTGTTTTCAGAACATTCTAACATTGAGAGGGGGTAGAAATATCAACAATACTATTACCTACTATTACTGAAGCACTATATAAATCTCGGTAAAAAATAACAAATAAGCAACTTTACATTCCTGACGAATTCCCACTATAACTTTGTACGAAGGATAATATTATATCGTCTTAATTTCCGATAGTTTTTTCAACTAATATAATCGACATTAGAAAAAATCAACCTTTACGCATCAGATAATAAAGATTGATACTAATGATACTCACATTGGTAAGAATAACCGGATAAGAATAATGCAACAAAAAGCCATAGAGCACAAATAAAAGACAGCCAATAGTATTTACAATGCGTAGTGTTTTTAGGTCTTTCATGAGGAAGGATAGCAATACACCTAAACTAGCTGCATAACCAACAATTTCTGTAATGTTCATTCTTCAATTTGAACTGCGATTATAAACTATTATTCTGAAAACGACCAACTTAGAATGCTAGAGAAGCTTGAACCGAACTTGAATGATTTCGTTACACGCAATTGGCGAACCATTTACAATACATGGCGTTAACCTTGGAATTTTCATTGCTGTTTCCAAAGCCACTTGGTCTAATGCCTTACTAACCCCTTTTTTACGCAAAAATTGGTCAGTTCGCCAGTACTTGTTATAGTAAACATTATAAAAACAGTTCCTTGTACCCCTTTTTCTCGTTCGATTGGAGGATACCAAAGATATTTAGCAATAATAGGCATCCATTCCGCTTCACGATTAGGATATTGCGTTGAGTCTGCACTTTGAGATAGCGTGGATATGTCTTTCGTTTGAGCAATTCCTAATGAAGTGAGTAATGAAAACAGAACAAAACTTACCTTTTTTTCCATTTTTTTCTTTACTTTAAGATGTTGTCCCTAAATTTTTTCCATAAAACAAATACGATTGTTTTATATTTTCGAAGCCTTAAACGATACCAGTAAATGCAATCAAAGATAAAATCAGTTATTCAAGCCTCTATTGATGTGAAAGCTAAAATCCTCGATGATGTAACCATGCATCATCGTATTGAAGAAGCGTCAATGCAAGTAGTGAAAAGTTTTCAAAACGGATGCCGAATCTACTTTGCCGGCAACGGAGGAAGCGCTGCCGATGCGCAACACTTAGCGGCTGAATTCACCGGACGCTTCTACAAAGACCGTGAGCCCTTACCTGCAGAGGCTTTACATGTGAATACTTCATTTTTAACCGCTGTAGCAAATGATTATTCTTACGATGAAGTCTATCAACGTATGATTAAAGCACAAGGTAGAGCCGGAGATGTGTTCTTCGGTATTTCGACTTCGGGCAATTCGAAAAATGTGTTGCTAGCACAAGAAGAAGCCAAAAGAAAAGGCATGTATGTTATTTCATTAACGGGTGAAACTGGTGGTAAAATGAAAGACTCTTGCGATATTCTTTTTAATGTGCCAAGTACCGACACACCGCGTATTCAAGAGTCACATATTCTCATCGGACATATCATCTGCGAATTAGTAGAAGAAAAAATGTTCTTTTAATTCATCACCTTGACAACATCAGCCATTATATTAGCAGGGGGATTTGGAACGCGTTTGCAAAAAGTGGTAAGCGATGTACCCAAACCTATGGCCCCCATACAGGGCAAGCCTTTCCTGCATTATGTGTTTTTGTATTTGCAACAATACTACATCCAAGAAGTAGTACTTTCAGTAGGTTATTTACATGAAGTGATTGAAGATTATTTCAAGGATGAATACTTGGGAATAAAAGTGCGTTATTGTGTAGAAGAAAAACCGCTAGGCACCGGAGGGGGCATCAAAAAAGCATTCGAATTAATAGAAAACAATGCCTTTGTGTTGAATGGCGATACTTTTTTTGATGTAAACTTAACTGAATTAGATGCCTTTCATAACAATACCAATGCAGACTTCTCAATGAGTTTAAAGCATCTTACTGAATTCGATCGCTATGGCACTATTGCTCTTGAAAACAGCCGTGTAAAAGGATTTAAAGAGAAGACATATACGAAAGATGGATGGATTAACGGAGGCGTTTACCTCACCTCAGCAGAGGTATTAAACCGTTTTAATTTACACGAACAGTTTTCGTTAGAAAAAGATTTTTTAGAACGCCATCTCGATAGTTTGCATGTCAACGGATATTGTTCTGATGGCTATTTTATCGATATTGGTATTCCGGAAGACTATTACAAAGCAAACGAAGATTTACCTAAATTACTGTATTGATGAACATTCTGGAACAACTGAAAGTAGATAAAAGCTGGACTTTATTTCTCGACAGAGATGGGGTGATTAATCTTCATTTCCCAAAAGATTATGTGAAAACATGGAATGAGTTTTTCTTTTTAGAAGGGGCCATTGATGCGAT